TTGATTAGTCGCTTGAGTGCGCGCGCGAGTACTCGTTAGAGCGATTCTTCGGGACCCCGGACGTTGATACTGCCCACCTTACCCCTCTCACCCTCGCCCCTTCCGCAGGATCGACCTCGCGCCGACGCGCCCCGCTCGACTCCAATTAAAACTTTACGACCGGCGGGGATGTTAAATAACCGAGACGCGCGCGCGTCCTACGTCCGAAGGCGCATTCCGCGATTAATTTGCGTTTCACGCGTCATTATTGTCCTTACAGTAATATTTGTACTACCGAGGGAAGAGAGACCGGTTCCTCTCTCGCGCGCGTGTGGACGCACGGTAAACCTTGAGGAAGGTTGCACCACTCGAGAGGAAGAGAGAGAAAGAAAGAGCCGTCGAGTCGCGCGCTCGACGTTCCGCGATTCGTTCCTTAATCCTTTCCGGTTCTCTACGATGACGGTTGCCGTCGCATTTATTATACTTCAACGCGCGACTTCAATTTGTGTTCGCGCGAAAAATAAACGAGAGATATTTTCCTCCCCTTTTCTCTCTCTTGCTTCTTTCTTTTCTTCATTTCGTTATGATCGTTCTGATAAATCGAAGACGCGATATATGAGATGTAACCGCACGCGGTTAAAATCGCCGCTAACGCCACGGATTAACGTCGTCGATTTCCAGACGGGAGGATCGCACGAGCCGGCACGAGGGCCGCGGTAAGACGATCTCCCCCGGTACGAGAGCCAGGAGGAAAAAGGATCTCCGTGCGTGGAATATTGTTTGTACGTAACTTACATACAGGAACGAAGTACAAAGCGGCGGTTCCACGTGACCCACGACCTCGCCTCTAATGAGCGGCAAAGCTTACGGCTATTGTGAGAGAACCTCCTCCTGGAGAGGAAGAGGAAGAGAGAGAAGGAGAGGAAGAGAGAAGCGGCTGCTCTCCGTTTTCTTCGTACTCGTGCCCTCCGCCCGAATCCTTTCTCCAGCCTGAGCGCGCGCGAGACCGCCGCGCTCTCGTACACGTTTAACTCGAGCAGCACAATAAAACGGAACGAAATTAAATTCTCCTCCCCCATGCCCCATCCCCCGCCCTCACCACGGTCTTATAACTCCACTTGGTCGCGCATTTATCATATCTTACGCATGCTAACTCGCACGTGCTGCAAGGAGAAGCACGAGGACGAAGTATTTTTGTTTGGGAATTAATACGCGAGTTACTACCACCAGGTCGAGAAAAACCTGACCTGGCCTTAAACTTATTATTTTTACGCTTACACGTATTGAATATCGGCGCAACGCAAAATGTTGAGATAAGACAAACACAATGTGTTAAATTAATATACGGGGTGTGTTAAAAATTTAATACAAAAATTTTAACAGGGACCAGATTTTTAACGCTAGTACTTTAATTAAGAAAAAAATAGTACGTCATGTGGAAACTGAAAAATCGAAGAACGTTCAGCGGTCTACTGAATTTGTGACGAGCTAGGATTAATACGCGAGGTACAAGAATCTTTACTTTTTTTTTTGTTTTTTCAACAGCTTCCGCGTTCAATTTCGTGCCAGTTCTCCCGTTTAAAACGTCGAGACGTTATTTTCGACTCTCTTTTTTCATCGGGGGACGTTCTGTCGAGTTGAAATACTACGTCGTTGCTCGCTTCCCTCGAGTTCCACGAGAGTGGAGCGATAAACGATAATCCAAAGCGCGATACTCCTCTGCGAGTTGTAACGATCATCGGGTAAGAGGAAGATCGTTCTTCGGCGATTCCACGAAGGGGATGGCGAGAAAAAAGGAAGAAACTCGCGGGAGAAGGGAAAGAAAGAGAGAGAGAGAGCTGAGAGATGCGAACCCGCTCGCGCTAACGCATCGTTCTTGCCGGGAGTATCGACGACGGTCGTGGCGAAGGGGAACACCCTGTACATGCCGACGACATTCCCGAAGTGCAGCGTGCAGTTTTTCGCGGCTACCGGTGCAGCGGAGCCTGTGACGAGAGTGACTCAGAGGCTTCGAGGTAGACGCAAGGGCGAAACACGCACGTGCTCCCTCGAGCGCGCGCGTCCGTGTCGTGTACGTGCGCGTATGCGTTGCGTGTACAACTGGAGTGCGGTGGAGGGAGAGGAGGAACCAAAGGAAGGAAAAAGGGCGGAGGGAAGCGCGAGATTTATTCGGCCGAATTTCGACGGCCGGTCGATGCCGCGCCGGCCGTCGCCGCTTCCGAGGAATGCATTTCGTATTCGGAATCTCTCCTCGCGCGGAATATATTGTACATCCTGCGACAGAGATAGATGGATAGATATATAAAGAGAGAGAGAGAGAGAGAGACGTGCGTTAGATCTTTGTTTTTTTCGCTACCGGTCTCGTCCTCGTGTTGATATCGTTATCTTCGAATATTACAACAATGTGTTGAACTATTCAGTAAGTTTGTCGTCAAAAATCCCTATGAACTTATCGAACGACCGAAAAATATCACCTATTAACGAGAAACATCCTTTAGTTGCGCGACAGGACAAGACGAAAATTTTACCCGAATAACTCTCATTTCATTTGCACATTTCGTTCTCATTTCATCTATGCATCCATCCCAGAGCGCTGCTCGTAAACCTCAATAACAACGATAACAGCTCGCAGTTGACATCGACATCGGGCTCGTGTCGTTAACCCCGAGCCGGAGATCGCGACGACGTCCACCGATCTGTCCGATAAACGCTCGGCGACGCGGATCTTGCCGATGATGTATCGTTCCCCTGTGGATTCCCCCGGATCGGCGCTATTAGGCCATCGGCATCGCCGATACTTTTTCTGGCACCGGCGGCTCAAGAGGACAGGGAGGAGGGGGACGCGTCCCGGGTGGACCCTGCGTGCGCGCGCGAGAGACGTATGTGTCCCGTAAACGACGACTAGCACCGCGGTTTAACTAATGTGCCGGACCGGTTAGGAGCGTATTGATCGGACCGCGACTAGATTTATGTCGGCGAATGATTCACGGCGCGTGATTTACAGCGGATTGTCCGCCGCCGCTGTGCGCGAGCGCGCGCGTTCGCTCGCGAGCGCATACTGATTGAGCATTTATGCCGCTCTCCCTCGCGGTAACCGCCGATCATTTATTGGGTTAAGGTGAAATTCCCCGTCTTTTCCCGCCGCCGTGTGCAGGATACTCTCGGATTTTCCTTCTCTTCTTCTTCTTCTTTCACGCCATTTTACCCCCTCTCGCTCTCCCTTGCGGCTCGGCTCGAGACGCAGATAGCAAATTTGAAAGCGACCCGATTTGCTGATGAAATATTTCCCCTTCAGAACCCTCCCCCCTCCTCCTCTCTCTATCTTGATTTTATAATGTTATTGTCAGGGTTGGGAGGGTTTATTTTTCCCAGATGTAACTCGTCACACTGTTATTCATCTTGAAAAATAACTCGTCGCCGTGTTATCGCTACTATTATCGTTATAGATAGAAAATTACACCGTTAAAATTATACCGTTATCAACGCAAAGGAATAACGCGAATCTTTGCTGTAAAAATGTAAATTGTAATTGTGACGGTTACAAATGACGCGTTGTTTCCCAGCGTCCTTATTCTGTAACTTTCAACGCGTGCGTTACGAATCTTCGCACGGACGAAATATATTACAAAATAGCTCCGCAAAGATACCGTCGACGGTAACGAAATTGTCGTTACAAGTTAGAGAAATAGGGCGGCTGGCGCACTACGCGCGTTAGTTTGATTTTACGGATACTTCAATTGTTTGTTCTTTTTATAGTCCACCGGGCCGCTTCTCTCTCGTTGGAGTATCTCGCTCGTTCGCGCGCATGTTACAAAATAGACATTACGTTACCGGGTTCCCGGCGTGGTTTACGTAAAGCTGAAGGCAACACGGGCAGCCGGCCAGCCGGCCGACGCGGTTACGCTTTAGAAAGCGCGTTCACCCTAACGGCGTCGCAAAAATCGCGTTTCTGTCGCCGCGCGGCCGGAGTATTCGAAAGTCCCTCGGGAGCGACGATCCTTCTTTTTCATCTCTCGCTCTCTCGATCCTCGATTACGGAGGCAGGGCACGCGTCTCGCCCGCCCGTAGAATGTCGCCGTAACGAGGAGAGGCTCTTCTCCTTTCCCACCCTCTCTTCCCCTCTCGCCCCGAGATTCGCGTCCTCCTCTCGAGGATGCGCGGCCCTCGAGTGTCCGCATCGTCCTCGTCGTCCTCCTCCGCCTCTTCGAGGCCCCACCGATGCTGGTGATCCCCTCGATCGCGACCGGTACACCGGCGAACGTTTAAATTAGGCGGGGAATCCCTCGGAATGCGCGCAAGAAACGACGAGGCCGGCATTCCGCGGGGTTTTGATACGCCTTCGGGCGTATCGTTCGCGAGGCACTATTAGCCCTTATGCGGCGGGAATGACTCCTAAGGGCCCCGATCCTTCGCGCGCCGCCGCTTCGAAACTTGCACATTTTAAATCCCGAGGATCTCGGGCGCGCGCGACCGCTCGTCCGCGACGACGTGACGCCGGGATGTCGGGGTCAGAGATTAAACGATTATGCGACGACACAGAGATCTTTTTCTCGCTCAGGTTTGAAAAAATGTGCGGTCGCTCGACCCAGCGAGCGACACGGTGATTTCGCGGGCGTTATCTACTTCCAGACGTATAATTTAGCCATGTCTCAATTGACCGTTCACTGAGAGAGAACATTGGTATCCCGAAGAAAGAAAGCTAACAGAGTCTGGATATGTAAAAACGATTCTATCAACCTTGCACGGTATAATGTTTTCTGTTGCTTTAACGTGAGGTTTGTGCTAAAAAGTGCACAAATATAATGTTAAAACGTTCACCTTATCATTCACCTTATCGTGATATTTTTCGGAAGATGCATTTTAGCGCGCATGGATGACACCCGTTATCTGCACGGTCCTGTAGAGTTAAACAAACGTCAATTTTGCGAGTATTTACTTGAGAAGAGAATGATTCGACCGGTGATATTCACGCATGCGTTTTTCGCGAGTCATAATAACCTATTGCGCTTCTTTCATTCCAGAGTCTGGCCACAGGTTGGACAGCGGCTCCCCGTTCTGGAGGATTCAACTCGACCAGGACCTTCTGGACACCATCAGTGCGATCTATCCGGAGTGGTTTAAGGTGAGCACCCCGCGTGCACCTCGCGTCGTCTGTCAGGATTCCAACTCTCAACCACGCCGGAGGTACGCGAGATAACGAGACGAGCTCTTCTCGTTGCAGGATTACACCAACAGCCGAGCATCGACGTCGTCGTCCACCTCCTCCTCCACGTCCTCGAGCACTTCCGGCGCGCAATCCTGCAACGACAGCGCCGCCGTGGTCGTCGTCAGCAGCGCCGGCGGCGAGCACAAGGTCGCCAAGGGCGAAGTGGCCAAGCCGAAGTCCAAGGCGAAAAAGTCGGACGGCCACAAGGATAAGGACCGGGACAGGAAGGACTCTAGGCGCGACGCCAAGGACGAGAGGTAAGATAATTTGCATTTCTCAGCGCGACGGGAAAAAAGCGGGAGCGAGGAAGAGAGAGAGAGAGAGGTGTACACTCTCGAGTTATATTCGCTGAATATTAATAAAACCCCTTGAAATAGCGAAAACGAGGGGAATATTCTCGGGTGCGCGTTATCACTTTCTACCGGCGCTCCACGGCAATAACCGGTATACGCGCGTTCGCGTGGCGTATAAATAGAAGAAGACAAAATGCGCGAGACGTTCCCGATCGCGAGCGAGTAAACGCGCGGCAGGGCGTTATCGCGATCGAAAAATAGACGCGTCGCTCGGCACCTGCCTCGATTATTTTAACAAGCTCCGGCCGGCTCCACCCTAACGCTTTGTCGCATCGCCCGCGTCATTACCGCGGGGCACATTATTTCTATTAATCCGCGGCGGTGCGACCTTGTAAAACCGCTCGCTGGGAGGAGGCTGCACTCTAGTGGCGGATCGCCACGCGGACCCGGATGGCGCTCGAAAGTCGATTCGATGTTGCCGATGATGCGATTTATCCGTTTAATCGAATTTATTCGAATTGATTCGATTTAATTGTCCAATTGCTCGGGGTGGAGAGATTCTCATTGGATTTGATTTAATTCACCTTTCCTTTTTGTTTTTGTCAATATTTAAAATGGCACTAGAACATCCGTTCTTAGGCTCTATGGCTCGTAATCGTTTCTTCTATTTAATTTAATTTTCCCGTATCTGATGAAAATATATCAAATTTTGCTGATGCCCATGCATCTGAGTTTCTCCGACAATAACGTTCAACAACGTTTTGACAACGTTGGATCCGGGGCTCGCGGTCGGCCTGTGAAATTTTTTCGCAACGTTCGTGACGGGCCAGGCGACTTCGAAGCCGGTCCACGGCGGCGCACCTTGGGCCTCTCTGCACCTTAATCCGTCGCTGCGGAGTTGCGAGATCGCGGCTAGGGCCGCGCCGGAGCGAGCGATTAACCCGCAATTTAGTATCAGCACCGCGTGGTAATCGTTACGCGAGAATATAAACGCTCTTAACGACCGGCTTCCTATCTCCAGCTGTGACGAGTAATCTTTTCTCGGAACTTTCCCCTCGCGGGTTCTTAAACTACCTCGTGGATCGTTGCCTCGACGCTATGAGATCTTTAATCGACTCGCCACTTTCCTTACCTCCTTCGGAGCCGAGCGGGCTCGCGCGAGCAATTTTCTCTGAACTTTTCGAGGATGAGCCGAATTTTTTGCGTGACATTTCGACGACGACGACAACAATCGGTCGCCCGCATCACGAAACCACGCGGCCGGTCCGTAAAGGGGATAAACGTTTTCACCCCTCGACCGAAACAGTCGCTCTTTACCGTCCCGTCGGAGAAGAAACGCTATTCGAATTTCGCCCTCCCCCGCCTTCCTTCACCTTCTCTCTTTCTCCGTCTTCTAGCCGAGGTCATTCGCAACGCGTACGCTCGTATTGCGATCATTTCACACAATATTTACGCGGCGGTTATTTTACACGGCACTCACGTTATCTGACAATGAGTCGACGGGAAATATATTCGATAAGCGCGCGAAGAGAGAGAGAGAGAGAGACTCTTCAAGCACCCGCGACGATAAAGAAACCAATTAAGTGCTGTGTCCCGCACGATTCTTCGCCTCTGTCCGCCCGATATCGACGCGTTTTTAATTTAGGACGAGCGTGCGACCTCGCGAGTCTGCCGGCACATAAATTCTCCGGGCGCGGCGGATACCGCGCGCGGTCCGGGCGTTTCTTGCTCGCACGGAGATTCGCCTCGCGGCGGAAGGAGGGGGGGAGGGGGAGGAAAGAAGAGCGACGGCGACGGTTTCCGACGCTTTCTGATGAAAACGTCGTGCCGAGCCGAGTGTCGATTGATTGATCCGTCGTTCCGTCATTCGCGACAAAAACATGCCTCGGCGCGTCCACAAGGAGCCCGGGCCGCGATTGACACTCGCTCTCCCCCTTCTCCTCCGCCGTCGAACGGCCGGAAAGGACGAAGCGACGCCGAGTATGAAAGTTTAATTCGCAAAACGCGACGTTTTGCTCGTTTGACACAGGGACGCTGGAAACGGCAAGAAAGGGACGAAGTCGTCGCCGCAGCAGGATAAGGCAGCGGCGGACACCGCGGGAAGGAAGGCCTCCGGTGTCCCGGGATCGGGATCGGAGATGGCCGAGGGCAATCAGTCGCCGCCGAAGGCGGAGGTCGACGATTCACCGCTCCAACACGCCATGGACCGCAACAAGGAATGTGAGTACGAGCATCGTTCTCTCTCACTTACCGCCGGGAATATTAGTCCGGCTGTCGGTCGACCGAAATTTTTCAGACGGACTCGCGCGCTTGTCCGCCGGGGATCTTGATTTATCGCTCTCGCGTCGTCGTCGAGATGCGGAGAGATTTTCCCCCGATTGAGATCTCGAGTGTTCTCGTAGGAGCGCCTTCGTTGAAAAAAATTAATATTTAATCTTAATTTTAATTTTTATCTTATCTCCATTTCTATTAAGTATAGTACAGTATCATATTTGATATATCGGTGTTAAACAAAGTAGGAGTGTATATTCAAACGACAGAGTGATAGCTGACTGTTATCAGGCCCGATCGAAGTGTAATCTAAATTAAAGTCTATGTTAAAACTAAATTCAAAGTAACCGAAACTGGTCTAAATTCATTGTTATAATCGTTACAATATCCGTCATCCTCTTGTATGAAAGATTTCTCGCGATTTAATTGGGATCCAGTTCGATCTCCCGAAATTAATGATGGATCCTAATCGCGAGATCTACGTAGGTTCTGCTTAGAAATGTAACGTTTCAAACGTACTGTGCCGGGCGTTCAATTTCGGTATTCCCACGCTCTCACATTCAGAAACGATAGACGCCGTTATTAAAAGTAAGCGACTTGATTCAATTTCCCGCTGAACGAGGAACTGCCGAACGCTCCTGTCAATTTTTTTTTTTTTTCGTTCACCGTCAGTTCTAACTCTTTCTTTTAATCCAACACTTTTTTACGTGGGAAACATAAACAGATCCTATTTAGTCACGTCCAATCGTTTTCTCCCAGATTTTTTCCGCTTTCCGTTTTACACTAGGATTGAACAAAACATACGAAACACTAACTATTTACACTGTACAAGTACACACACACTGCGCGCGCTATAATAGATCAAATAAATTCCACCAACCGTTTCTACGAATATCTTTCTTCGACGCTTCTCATCCCTTAACGCGGTCCGAAGAAAAAAAATCGAGTCCCAATTACGCAGATATATCTCTCACGTCTCCCGAGCACCGGGTCGAGTTATATCGGTGACGGAAAAATAAATGAGAAAAGGGATAGGCACGCTTCCGGGATAACTGTGGTGTTATTTTAAGATCCGGTCGTGCTCGCTTGTTCCTTCGCAGTCCGTAGTCCACTTTAATCCGTCACCGTTTCTCGCGGTGTATCACCGCCACGCCGCGGGGACGGAAGTGTCGGCTCCTCGTCGCCCGGAATAAACAATGAATAAAGACCTAACGGTCCGACGGTTCGCGCTTCCGATCGAATAATCGCGCACGCGGAGATTCGCGATTATTATGCGGTGTGCGCGTCGTTGCAGTTACGCACGCACTCACGCACGCACGCACGCACACTCGAGCAACCCCCGAGCAGCCCCGCGAGCTGCATCCTTGGCTGAGGAGCATCCTCGTTCGCGAAGGCGCCTGTAATCGAGGGAAGACGGCGCGCAACCGAGAGAAGAAGGCTCTTTTTAACATTGCCGGACCTCGCCATTATGTGCCCATCGCGACTGTAATCATCCGCTCGTTATTCGGCGCGGCGCCGATCCGCGCGCGCGAGAACATCGCCGCCGCCGCAGCTCGCGCGCCGCTTATCGATTCGGAATCCGGCGATTTTTTCTATACGGCAAGAAGCGCGCGGCGGCTTTTATCGCCGCGCAAAGTGCAGCTCTCCGGGCCATTCGCCACTTCCGCTAGTGCCGCTGCTGCCGCTAATACTACCACTACTACTGCTACCACGCCGATACTAAAAGCACCAGTACCGGCGCCGGTAATCAGCCGATCGTTCCTCGGGAACGACGATCCCCGTTTTGTATTCGGAACGCGACTTCCCACGGACAGGATAGGAGGAGTATCGGTCGCAGCGGCGCGCGGCCGACGCGTCGTGCCCCGCTCGTCTTCGTCCTACGACTCGATTCTATCTCCTTTTTTTTCTCTTTTTTTTTATTTCTCCTCGACGACGAGCGGCGAACGCGCGATCGACACCGCGTGACGATACCCGAGTCGAAATTTCGACGATGCTACTTGGAATTTCGATTCCCTTCGGCCGAAATACGTCTCGCTCGTTTATTGTCACGTTAGTTCGGCCGAACATTTTTCTCTGTATAGAATTCGAGGCTTAACATAGGGCCAAAGTTCCGGCTCGAATAATTCGATGAAATCCACCAAGTGGATTTTCTTCCCGTCCGTGAGATGCGCCCAAAGCATGGCAACAATATGCGTTTTCTTCCCACGATTTCTCTACGCTTTGCTCCGTCAAATCATATCGCGCGTGTGAGATGAAGGAGAACGTTAGCGATCGCAGCCCGAAGAGACAAGCGGTGGTAGAATCGATACCGCTTTCATAAATGTCGCGATCGCGTGCCGAGCTTTTTTCGCCGACGTATAACGTACATCGTTTCGCCGTGGTCGAGTCCTCATTAAAGCCCCGGGCCGTCCTGCGCGGTCTTTAGAACGTCACTTTGTCGCGTTTATCGCTCGCCTTTTTCCGTAATTACTTCTTGCCATCGGCCTTCTCGAGGCGCTCTCCCTTCACGGCCTGTGCGAAGGACGGACGAGAGCGCGCGCAGCAACAGCACGTGTGTGCTCGTCTGAACAATGTGCACGTGCCACTTTTACGCGCACCTGAAACAACACCGACGACAATGTCGCTCTCCATAATCCGCCCGTGGAAATCGACAATAGCGCGATCCGCGCCCATTCAAATCCGACGCGAACGTTTAGAGAACGTCGAGGAGCCGCGTGCGCGAGAAGCGCATACAAAGTTCGAGCATCATAAATATTTAAAGATGATGGGCGTTTTAACGGCTTAATATTAATGTCGGAGTCTCGCTTGCGTTGAGAAAGAACGCGTGAAATAATTTTTGCAAGTTCGAGATGAATGGATGACGAGGACTCTCGCGAAAACCACCCAACGTTGTCGTCGAGCAACTCCCGCAGAAGTTCGGCGAGCGAATTTCGACCGATACCTCGCCCGACCACCTGTGCGTGTGCGTGCACACGAGGAGCGCGCGTGTATGTGTATATGTATGTATGTATGTGTGCGTGGCAGTCTACGGAAAAGAGACAGCCGACGCGGGCATTCGTGCGGACAAGTAGGTGCAGATTCGCGTGTGCGAGCGTGTACACGCGCGTATATATACGCGCGAGAGACAGGAGGTGCGCCTATTTATAACGGTGATATCATCGCCGATTACCTACGCTTTCGCGTGGACAATCGTAAATTCTCGTAGCAGAAGGGTGCGGGCCGATTTGAGGCTTTACTGAATACCCGTCGTAATCCTTCTTCTCGTGCCTCCCCGTCCTGTTCTTCCGTTCGTGCCTCTCTTTCTCTCGCCGGATAAACGTTATTCCCGCTTCTCTTTGACACGTCGGCTCGAGTGTAACTCGAAACCTCGAGACGGACATCTCGGATAATCGAGAACTGTCGGGGGAGGAATTGAAAATACCTCTCGCGTTTTCGCGTCTGACTGAGCGAGTTCTTTTTTCACTTAACCCTCCGCGACGTCTTAGGCAAAGATTAGGGAGACCTCAATAGGTAGAAATCAAGAGATGACTTCGATACATTTTATATTCGGATAAAAGAGAAATTTGTGGGAATGAGTATTTATTCTGGAAAAAAAGATTTGTTCAATTAACGTGACAGTGAACAAACTGAATTTTGATTGGAGGAAACGGAATTCTCGATCTAAAAGCCGAATTTAGTTCATAGGAATTCGAAATTCCGTCTCCTTCAACGAAACCGTTTTTCCCCCCACTTTCTCGCGGATTTCTTCGGTTTCTGTGGCAAGAATAGAAGAATTTGTTTAGAAAAATTCATATGTATTGGGTTAATTTGCTTCTTCTATAAAAAAACATTTAAGAAACCAAAAAATCCGCAGAAATAGAGAGGATAACCGGTTTTTCCGGGCTCTTAAAGCGATAATTTTTACAAACGTCAATTAACGGTGTGATAACCAGCGAAACACGCGAAAAGCGCAGTGATAAAATGATATCGAGCGTGTCCGGATTGCGATATTCGCCAGCGGACCATGTTGAGCGAGACCGAGAGAAAGAGAGAGAACGAGAGAAGGAGAGACACATCCGATCGCTCGATCGCATCTCTATTTCGCGGCGCTATAAAGCGACGTAATAAATTTCTTACTGGTCATTTGCGGATGTAGCGGGCGCACTTGAGAGGCGAAAACACGCCGGTCGATTACGCCGAGCTAATTATCGTCGGCGTATCTCGTCCTAAACGACGGCGCGCAAACTTGCGTGCTCGTTTCGTAATGGAAAATTATGTTGGAATTATGCGCCGCGCCGGCGCGGCGGTCAGAGGGGGGCTCTCCTTTCCATTCTGTAAAACCGATAACCTCGGGTAGTGAAGCCGCGCGCGCGTTTAATGAGACATCATCATCAACGAAACGTCCCACGCGACCAGCTCTCGCCTTAACGAAGATCACCACATTTTTTGTCGATCGACGACAATAACGGGCCGGCCAATGAGCGATCGTTCGATGACTACCGAACCACCCGACCTGTTTCGTAAGAGAGAGAGAGAGAGAGAGAGAGAGTAATTAAATTAAATTAGCGGCTATTACCGCGCCTCAAATGATAATTAGCGAACGATTAAAGCGCCCGATCGATTTATCGAGCACGCCAACTTGTCTAGTTAATCTAGTTAACGTGAGTGAATTTCCTTTGAAAAGAAACGAGATCGCTAAGTAATCGCCGAATATCGTTCCGCTTTTCATGATTCTCACGAAACTTCGTATCCCGCGTTGAACCGCGACTCGTGGAGGAGGAGGAGGGGGGGTGACGGATGGAAAGCGGAGGCGCGACATGTTTTCGGCGTGCATCGCGCGGAAACGAATTTCGACGATGAGCGCTAATTAGCGGCTGCGATCAAGTGTACAACATACCTCGGGGGATTTCGTAATTAAAGAAGCTCCCCGGCTACCTTTTTCTGCCGTCGGTGAACCCGCGTCGAGTCGC